ATTCTATTCTATTCTATATTCCAATATTTATTCTATTCTATTCTATTCTATTCTATTCTATTCTATTCTATTCTATTCTATTCTATTCTATTCCATTCCATTTTCTATTCGTTATTCTATTCTATTCTATTCTATTCTATTCTATTCTATTCTATTCTATTCTATTCCTTATTCTATTCCATTCCATTCCATTGTTAAATTAAGATGGCCCCTTTCACCTTTTTAGAATGAAAAATTACCCCTGCAACGTTTTTGTTCTTATGATGATTCACAGCCCAAATAGAAACGAATTACGTAAGCCTCTGTAACATTTTGCATAGTTCATATCAGCCCAGATAATAGTGCAAACGTGTCCCTTGCTCTTCCACTAACCTGGATATTGCTTTGTCTGAATGTACCAAAGCCGTGAGCAACAGGGCCAGAAAGACAGCGCAGGCAGGTCCCCTGGTAGAGACCCTAATGGCATCATGCATGTCATCATGCCAGCGACACGGACGGTGCATTCAGATCAGCCCCACGCAAATTGCATCGTCTCTGCTATGCGATAACATCAAGATGCTTCCCCCTCCATGGAGAGGAATTAGAGACCCCCCAAAGGAACCAATAAAAGGATGGTTGAGTTGGGGTGGCAGTTTAAGGATTTGGGCTGCCAGGCAACTGAAGGAGGGCAGGAGAATTTGGGGGTATCTTCCCCGGGTCAGAGCTGAGGGGGTCTCACCTTGCACTGGCAACTCTGGCAGGGATTGTCCAGATCGGCAAATTCTTGGCCGTGGCTGTAGAGGCGCTGGTTGTAGAGACACTGGTGGCACTCGGGGCAGCAGGAACCTTGAAGGAGGCAGAGGGGAGGGTGCTAAGACCCCTGGCCCAAGGGAGATCCTCGGTCCATATCTAAATTTCCAACAGCCGAGCACTCGTTCCCACCCAGGCGGCGGGACACAGCACCGCAGCGTACTTGTCACTGCGACAGCGAGACGGGCAGCATATAAATGTAATAAATAAAGCAAATCAATAAAGCTGGGCAGGGGCACTGAATCAGGGGAAAGAAGAGGAGCAGAGATGGGGTGCTAAGACCCATGGTACAAGGGAGACCCTCGGCTCACGTCTAAATTTCCAACAGCCGAGCACTCGTTTCCACCCAGGCGGCGGGACACAGCACTGCAGCGTACTTGTCGCTGCGACAGCGAGACGGGCAGCGTATAAATGTAATAAATAAAGCAAATCAATAAAACTGGGGAGGGCACCGAATCAGGGGAGAGAAGAGGAGCAGAGAGGGGGTGCTAAGACCCCTGGTGCAAGGGAGACCCTCGGTCCACATCTAAATTTCCAACAGCCGAGCACTTGTTCCCACCCAGACGGCGAGACACAGCACTACAGCGTACTTGTCGCTGCGACAGCGAGACGGGCAGCATATAAATGTAATAAATAAAGCAAATCAATAAAACTGGGGAGGGCACCGAATCAGGGGAGAGAAGAGGAGCAGAGAAGGGTTGCTAAGACCCTTGGTGCAAGGGAGACCCTCGGCCCACATTTCCAACAGCCGAGCACTCGTTCCCACCCAAACAGTGAGACACAGCACTGCAGCGTACCTGTCGCTTCGACAGCGAGACGGGCAGCATATAAATGTAATAAATAAAGCAAATAAAGCTGGGGGGACACCGAATCAGGGGAGAGAAGAGGAGCAGAGGGTTCCTTAGAAACCGAAATGCAAGAATGTCTAAATATTATTTAGTGCAAGATATTTTTTTTTAAAAAAAATGAACGATCTCTTAGAACAGGGGTCTTCAAACTTGGCCCTTTTAGGACTTGTGGACTTCAACTCCCAGAATTCCTCAGTCAGCCATGCTGGCTCAGGAATTCTGGGAGTTGAAGTCCATGAGTCATAAAAGAGCCAAGGTTGCCTACTTCTGGTCTAGACCCATCTATATTTTCTTTAATGTTAGCTTGATTTTTTTTCTGACCACGACAGAGCCAGAAGCCGGTTATTGACCAGCACCCTAACCCTGCCAACCCCCCCCCTTTTATTTTGCTTTTCCTGCAACCGGATTCAGGGCCATGGATCCCAGAGGGGAGGGCCCTGTGGTTTTGGGGGGAGGGGGACACCAAAGCACTCACCGAGAAGCCGGGCTGGATGCTGGCAGGCGACAGGGGGGCACTGGAGAGCACGGCACACCGTCTCCCCCTGGTGGCAGGTGCAGGCTCTGCACGGATCACCCGCCGGCACCCACTCGGTGCCATCTTCAAACTCCAGGCCCTCGAAAACACACACTGGCGGTCGCCAAGCAAGAGAGCGGTTGAGTCAAACTGGGTTTCATCCTGGCCAGGCTGTAAAGCACAAACCTGGATTCCCTTCCCACCACCTCACTCCCCGTGTTTTAACGTTTGGGAATGGACACCAGGGGCTGCATTCACACGAGATGCCATACGGGTCATCCTCGACTTACAACCAACGTTTGTTTAGCAACAGTTCGAGTATGCAACGGTGCTGAAAAAAAGGGACTTGGAACGGTCACTAAATGAATGATTGTTAAGTCGCGGACTATCTGTAATTATTTTTACAAATAAGTCAAGGCGGGGAATGCAACCGACATTCCTGTTTTCTCTACAACATTTCACCGTGTTGAATAGCAACAGCCTCGTGAGAAATGCCAGGCTACATTTCCTCAATCAACCTCAGCCAGTTGCATAAGCCACGAATCCCGGTTTATGATGCAGAATAGTGGCTACCCGGCAGAAGCTAAGTCCAAATGAAAACCACTTCTTTGAGGTCACTATCGAATTAATCTTAATCTAGAATCAAAAGTACAGGTGAATCTTGACATACGACCACAACTGAGCCCAAAATTTCCGTTGCTAAGCGAGACATTTGTTAAGTGAATTTTGCCCTCTTTTACGACCTTTCTTGCCAGAGTCATTAAGCGAATCGCTGCTTTTGTCAAGTTAGCAACACGGGTGTTAAATGAATCCAGCTTCCCCCACTGACTTTGCTTGTTGGAAGATTGCAAAAGGGGATCACGTGACACCCGGGGGATGCTGCGACTGTCATAAATGTGAGCCGGCGGCCAAGTGTCCGAATTTTTATCACGTGACCGTGGGAACGTGGCAAAGGTCGTAAGTGTGAAAAACGGTCGTAAGTCACGTTTTTCAGTGCCGTTGTAACTTCGAATGGTCAAGGACTACTTAGAATACGAAAGGGATTAAGGAGGCCTTTGGGGTTCACTAGCCCATTCCAGGTGTTCTGCAACAAGCCCTGGAGATGGCTCAGACAAGTGAGCCAAGTTGCATGCTGCATGACCTCACAGCCCAATCTGAGCCGGTGGAGCCCAGGTGAGGAAATGAACAGCAAAGTGGTCAAGGGGCCCTTTCCCTATTCCCAGTTCCTCTCCGACGGTCACCTGGGCACACCGGGCAGCAGCGTTTGGGGTCCTGGAGGGGCCGGGAGCATGGCGTTGGGGGGCAGGGTTCCTCCTGACACCGGACGTGCCCGTCCTGAGCGAAGAAAAGAAAGAGAAGTGAATTCAGGAAGTTTAAGAGGGGGGGTGGACTTCAACTCCCAGAATTCCCCAGCCAGCCAAGAGTCTTGCAATTCTTCACCAGCTAGCTGGGGGATTCTGGGAGTGGAAGTCCGCCCCCCTCTTAAACGTGCCAAGGTTGAGAAACATTACGTTAAAGATTCTTGCATTTATTCACTAGCTGGTTGGGGGATTCTGGGAGCCGAAGTCCATACTTCCTGAGTAGTAAATAAAGAAGGGGAGGGGGTCAATTTATTCTCCAAAGCCCCCCGAAAGGCCGGATAAGAAGCAGCGGATGGAAACTAATCAAGGAGAGAAGCAACCTTGGAACTAAGGAGGAATTTCTTGGCAGTGAGGACAATTAACCAGTGGAACGGCTTGCCACCAGAAGTTGAGGGTGATCCATCTCTGGAGAAATTGGCTAATCATTTGTCTGAAATGGTCTATATACGCAGTGTTTCTCAACCTTGACAATTTTAAGGCCTGTGGATTTCAACTCCCAGAATTCCACAGCCAGCATTGCTGGCTGTGGAATTCTGGGAGTTGAAGTCCACATGCCTTAAAATTGTCAAGGTTGAGAAACATTGGTCTATAGGGCCTCCTGCCTGAGCAGGGGGTTGGACTAGAAGACCTCCGAGGTCCCTTATTATTCTGTTGTGTTATTCTGGACCCCGGTCTCACGATTCGGCCCCCTGCCCAGTTTGACCAGTTCTCCCATCACGGGCTACTCACCGAGCACTGGCACTGCAGGCAGGGGCCTCCCTCGGCAGGCGAGAATGTCTCTCTGTCCTGGTACAACCGTCCTTCAAATTCACAGACTTGCAGAGAAGATTCCGGAAGGGAAAAGAGAAACGTAGAAGTTGGGTGTCAAACTTTTTTTTTTTCTCCTTGGCTTAACTCTGGAGTAATTTTAGGACACCTCCTAGCTCTCCCCCGGGCCATTTCTACACCTGCGACGGGCAGACAGTTGAGAGATTTCCCCCAGAAAGAAACCTACGTAGAAATAGTCCTCAGGTTATGACTTCAGTCGAGTCTGCCCATCACACCCGTCAGTTGTGATGGTCGTAAAGCAAGTCATCATGTCACGGATCCAATTTTAAGACCTTTATTTGTGATGGTGTGTTAAATGGGCTGGTTTTTGTTTTGTTTTTTTTGCTAGGGGGAGTTTTGGCCCAAAACCAGAACTGAATGTCAGTTTCGGGGTGGGTGTGGGTGGGAAACCTGCCATAAATTGTGGCCATATGAATGTAAATCGGGGGTGGTTGCTGAGCCCCCTGTGGGAGATGAAAATATAGCCCCCTCCTCATATAATAAGATGTACTGTAAATCACAGTAGTGATTTAAAGCTTTAACTTGAACTTTATATTGTTTCACAATACGGACGTATTATTTCCAATCTGCTGAGCTTTGTGCAAGACGAAATTGCAAAGTAAGCAGTTCTGTGTATATTTGGAACATGAGGATGGTAACCGTGGGAAAAGAGGAACTGAAAGTAGCTGATGGACGCGGGTTCCTATGTACACGGGTATATGTGGAAAGTTATAAAATGCGATTGAAACTCAACATTAAGAAAACCAAGATCAGGGCATCCGGCCCTCTCAATTCCTGGCAAATAGATGGGGAAGAAATGGAGGTAGTGACAGATTTGATCTTCCTGGGCTCCAAGATCACCGCAGATGGGGACTGCAGCCAAGAAATTAGAAGACGCTTGCTCCTGGGGGGGAAAGCTATGGCAAATCTAGACAGCACACTAAAAAGCAGAGACATCACCCTGCCAACAAAAGTGCGTAGAGTCAAGGCCATGGTTTTCCCAGTTGCAACGTAGGGCTGTGAAAGTTGGACCCTAAGAAAGGCTGAGCGCCAAAGAATGGAGGCCTTTGAACTCTGGTGCTGGAGAAGACTCCTGCGAGTCCCCTGGACTGCAAGGCAATCAAACTGGTCAGTCCTAGAGGAGATCCACCCCGACTGCTCTTTAGAAGGCCAGATCCTGAAGTTGAAACTCAAGTACTTTGGCCACCTAATGAGAAGGAAGGATTCCCTGGCGAAGAGCCTGATGCTGGGAAAGATGGAGGGCAAGAGAAGAAGGGGACGACAGAGAAGGAGGTGGCTGGATGGAGTCCCTGAAGCAGGAGGCCTGAGCTTCAATGGACTCCAGAAGATGGCAGAGGACAGGAAGACCTGGAGGAATGTTGGCCATGGGGTCGCGATGGGTCGGACACAACTTCGCAACTAACAACAACAAATAAAATGCGATGATGGGACGGTGGGGTGGAGGTGGGGAATCTGCCTATTGGAACGTTGAATCCAGGTGATAAGTAGCCCAAGGAGTTTTGTCGTAACTTTGAACGGTCACTAACTGAAGGATGATTTAGCTCTCCGATAGATACCTGTGGCCCTCGACTTGAAATAGTTCATTTACTGACCAAAGTTCCAACAGCACTGAGAAAAGGGACTTATGACCGTTGCTCACACTTATGACCGTTGCAGCATTCCCCAGGGTCGCGTGATCGAAGTGCAGGCGCTTGGCAACTGACTCATATTTACGACGGTCGCAGCGTCCTGGAGTCACGCAATCCCCTTTTGTGACCTCCTGACAAGCAAAGTCAATGGGGAAGCCAGATTCACTTAACAACCGTGTTACTAATCGGCTCCTATTTATGATGGTTCCAGTTCCCTGGGGCCACGTGACTCCCTTTTGCGAGCTTTGGACAAGCAACTTAACAACCGTGGGACCGACTTAAAAATCACAGCGATTTATGTAACAGCCGTGGCCAGGAAGATTGTAAAATGGGGTGAAAACTCGACGAACGACTGTCTTGCTTAGCAACGAAAATGTTGGGCTCGTAACTGGAGGACTAGTGGAGAAGCTCTTTCGGTTTGATAAGGTACAGTATGCCCATTAATGTCCGCACGGCCCCTTCTATTTCTCTGTACTTTTTACATTTTCGCAACGTCTTCTGAGTAAGACAAAATGAGATCGAGTTTCGCTTTTCCCTTTGGCAACCTTCAGAACGCTGGCTAAGATAGACTCTTCCTGATGTGGAGGCTTTATTTTCCACACTCAGCCGACGTTGAGATATTCAAGTCAAATACATTTGGAGTTGGAGTGATGGAGTTTAAACCTTCATTGGCCATGTGGCTCAGCTGCTCTCACTCTGCAAGGAAGCTGGTCACTAAGTGGAGATCCCGGGGGGGAGGAGGATGGGAAACCTGGCATGGGGGGGGGACAATGAGAGAGGGGGCAACTTACCGTCGCAGGTGGGGCAACACTGCTCTGGGCGCTTGCCAGGATGGCTGCAGAGGGCAGGTGGGCAGCTCACCTGACTGCAGGAGACCTCGCCAGCCTGTGGGGGCAAGCAGATCACTGGAGGTGTCTGTCCCCCCCACAGGACAGACTCAGCCGCCCCCCCAGCCAGCAGACTCACCCCACATCTGCAGTGTTTGCAGGGGTCTTGGGGCTGCACGGCGTCGCCACTGCGGTACTCGCGTCCTTCCCAGAGGCAGCCTGCAGGGGGCGACACACGGACTGCAAATGTCTGCCCTGGAAGGTTGGCAGGGCTCCTTTGGAACCCACCAGCAGGGGGCAGCAGAGCTGAGTTGGCCAATTTGGCCCCACTGGAAGGGAGGGAGGCCTCCCACTGCTAGGGGACGATGGGGTTTGTAGTGCTCTGCTTTCCCTCTCGGTGATGGAGATGAGAAGAGAGGATAAGGGGATTTGCTGGACCCGCTTCAGAATATTCTGGAGTTGGTCCAGCAAATATCCAGAGAGAAGCAACCTAGAACTAAGGAGGCATTTCCTGATGGCGAGGACAATTAACCAGTGGAACTGCTTGCCTCCAGAAGCTGTTGGACTAGAAGACCTCCAAGGTCCCTTCCGACTCATTCTATTATCCTGTAATTTAATCAACCCTCCCTCCCAAGGATGAGGCACATGGTTGAGGGAGTCAAGATGGCAGCGGTTCAAAGCCCTGAACCCTTTCAAAGGGCATCCTAAATTTATAATAATAATAATAAAGTTGGAAGGGACCTTGGAGGTCGTCTAGTCCAACCCCTGCTCTGACAAATGGCTGTCCATTTTCTTCTTAAAAACTTCCAGTGTTGGAGCATTCACTGCTTCTGGAGGCAGGTTGTTCCACTGGTTAATTGTTCTAACTGTCAGGAAGTTTCTCCTTAGTTCCAGGTTGCTTCTCTCCTTGATGAGTTTCCATCCGTTGCTCCTTGTCCTGCCTTCAGGTGCTTTGGAGAATAGCTTGACTCCCTCTTCTTTGGGGCAGCCCCTGAGATATTGGAACACTGCTATCCTGTCCCCCCTCGTCCTTCTCTTCATTAAACTAGACATACCCAATTCCAGCAACCATTCCTTATGTTTCAGCCTCCAGTCCCCTAATCATCTTTGTTGCTCTTCTCTGTACTCTTTCTAGAGTCTCAACATCTTTTTTACATCGTGGTGACCTACACCACACTCGTAAAACAAAAAAGATTTAAGACTTCCATTGCATAAATATGACACCATCTTGACTTTTGGTTTGTCTGTGACGCTTGCCCAATGAAGTCATCGTGGTTTGTCTGGGATGCCCAGGCCCCCTTCCTGCCCAATGATGTCATTATGGTTTGTCTGGGAAGCTTAGCTCTCCTTTCTGCTCAGTGACACCATCATGGTTTGTCTAGGATGCCTAGACCCCTTTCTTCCCGATGACGTCATTGTGGTTTGTCTGGGACGCCGAGCCCACCTTTTCTGCCCAGCGACATCATTGTGGTTTGTCTGGGACACCTCGTGCCTCCCCTTTCAGTCCAGAGCCCCCCTCTCACACCAAGACTCACCGTCACAGACGGGGCAGCAGGTGCCCGGGCGAGGGTGGGCAGGGTGGCGGCACAGACTGGCACACTGCCTCCGTTGGCAGATGGCATTGCCCTCCTGCAGCAGAGGGGGAGGAGGAAGAAGGGGATCCTTGGAGGGGTGTAAAAGGAGGGGTTTCTGGGAGGGGGCTTCCTGATAGGGACTCAACTTCCCCCCCTGCCCCCCTGCCCCTGATTTAAAGAGGCCAGTGGTGCTTCCTTGGCCCAGGAGTCAAAGATGTGGGCACAATCGGCCATAGAGGAAAAAACCAGCCGTACAAAATTCACCGGAAGGCAAGGCTGTCCTTGACTCCAGCGTGACTCAAGAGGACAGTCAAAAAAAGTCAGGACGGTCCCTGCAGTGGGGCGACGGAAACTCCGGCTGTTTTACATTTAGTGACCGTAATTGGGACCTGTAACTTGGTCGTTAAGTGAAAACGTCACTAAGCGAACCCACCTGGTCTGACTTCAGCCTTCCTTGGCTGGGCAGACCTGAGAAAGCGGCAAACGAGATAGGACTAATTGCCAGGTGATTTTTTTTCTCACCCCGGTCGTATCTGCGAATGGTCGCTAAACAAGGACGATCTGTACGCCAGCGTCTTAGATTTCTTTTTTTGACCCTAAATCTGTGGACATTCCCTGATTTTCCCCTCTGCGCCTGTGGTTTTTATGGCGTGGTTTAGCGTCTTTAATATTTCCTGGCGTCTCTCGCCCTGATGCCTGACCGGCTTTTAGCGCTGGCCGGTCAGCCCGACTCGGATGTGGGTCAAGCGTGATGCCAGGAATTCCAGGGACTTCAGGGCCTGAAAGCCAGGGGTGGACAGCTGGGCACTGCCGGTGCTCACCCGACATTTGCATCTCAGGCAGGGGTCCGTGGGGGGCGTCCACTCTTCCCCGTGTTCGTGTCTGGCGGTTCCGTTCACACAACCTGCATCATGGAGGACAGAGGGAATACTGGATGTGAGAAGCCCACGCAGAGGTGGAAACATGGATTCAGGGCAGACAGCCCTCCACAAGAAAACAGCCCCGTTGGGAGAGCACTGAAGACCCCTCCTCAATTCATTCCTGGGCTACTGGTGTTCCCTTGTACTGTATCAATATACCAGCCTGGATCTTATCTACGGGTCTCCTCTTTCCAAATTATGTCCTTCCTGTCGCTCCGCTAGGAGAAGTAGAATTCGTGCTGTGGAAACCCAGTAGCAGAAGAGAAGAACCACCCCACCCCACAGAACATCCATGGACCACCCCAAAAGCAGATTCTCCCCCAGAAGCAGCTTCTAGCAGCAGTAATGGAGGAGAATTCTCCAAAGCGCCTGAAGGCAGGACAAGAAGCAACAGATGGAAACTCATCAAGGAGAGAAGCAACCTAGAACTAAGGAGAAATTTCCTGACAGTTAGAACAATTAGCCAGTGGAACAACCTGCCTCCAGAAGTTGTGAATGCTCCAACACTGGAAGTTTTGAAGAAGAGACTGGACAGCCATTTGTCTGAAATGGTATAGGGTTTCCTGCCTGAGCAGGGGGTTGGACTAGAAGACCTCCAAGGTCCCTTCAGGCTCTATTCTGATTGATTGATTGATTGATTGATTGATTGATTGACTTACAACAGTTCATTTAGTGATTGTATGAAGTTACAGCAGCACTGAAAAAGTGATTTATGACCACTGTTCACACGTACGACTGTTGTAGCATCCCCATGATCACATGATCAAAATTTGGACCCTTGGCAATTGACTCATTGACTCATTGAATCAATAATTGCCGTGATAAATGAATAAATGATTGAAAATGAATGAATAAATAATCAATGATTGACCAGTGAAATGAATTGATCAATCGACCCAATGAATCAATGAGAATCAGTGATTGACATGATAATGAATGAATGAATGAATTGACTCAATAAATCATTACTCTACTCTATTCTATTCTGTATTTTATTATTCTATTCTATTCTATTCTATTCTATTCTATTCTATTCTATTCTATTCTATTCTATTCTATTCTATTCTTTGCAAGAGCTAAAATGGAAAAAGGGCCACCATCCCATGCCCAGCACATTCCTGGCCGATTCCCCAAAAGGCACCGAGACCGGCATGGTGAGTCTCGAACCCCAGGCACTTCCTCACCCTGGCAGTGCATCTGGTTGGGCTGCAGTTGGCACTCGACCTTGCCCTGCACACACACGCAGGAGGTGCAGGGGTCTCGGTCCCAGGAAGCCCCCTCTTCGTAGTGCTGCCCATCTGCAAAGCAGGTCACCCGCCGGCACTCGCATCGTTCAAGAGACTTCAGGCGGCTCCGCAGGTCGGAATTCTGTCGGGGAAGGGTGGCAGACAGCCAGGGTTGCAGAATCAGAATTGTGTGTCAGCACACCATCAGGCCGTTCCCTCCTGAACTAAGCATCAAGGCGGGAACCCTAAATTGCACGGAATCCAGGGCCCCTTTTGAAGAAGCTTTTCTTGGCCAAAATAAGTCCTCTGAATGCCGCTTCTGCCTTGTTGGGTCTAGACCAGGGGTAGGCAACCTTGGCTCTTTTATGACTCGTGGACTTCAACTCCCAGAATTCCTGAGCCAGCATGGCTGGATCAGGAATTCTGGGAGTTGAAATCCACGAGTCATAAAAGAGCCAAGGTTGCCTACCCCTGGTCTAGAGGGATGGATTGCCCATCTGCCTTCTGGTTTTCACGTCAGCCCGCTCTGTCTCCAAGACAACCCTCAGAAGGAACTGACTCAACATTTCTGGTACAGTCCTCACCTGCTCCTTCACCATATCCAGCATGGTTCCCAGTCCCTCCACCTGCTCCTCCAGCCTCTGGATCCGGTCTTCCAGGCTGGCCACACCAGACCTCGCGGATCCCAGGGGTGGCAATTCTGCTTGGCTGGGCTCTTGTTGGTAGTGGTGAGTTTCTGCCAGGGCCGACGGCTCAAAGGGTGGCAAGGAATCCAGATCCAGAGAAGATTCCTCTGGGTGATCAAGATACTGGTTCTCAGACAGACCGTAGGGCAGAGAGAACAGGTCCAGCTCTGTGGGTCAGCAACACAAGAAGTCAGAACGACCTGGGACGGGCGAGGAAGAACCTCCGGGGATCTCCGACCCTCATTTCCTGGGCCCATAAGTGGGGGGTTATTGGGACACCTCCTCCTTGTAGCAGACCCAGGCCGAGGAAGGTCAAGCATTGTCTGAAGATATGCAGTAACGTACTGGTAGTCCGCAACGTACAACCACATCTAAGCCCAAAATCTCCATTGCTAAGGGAGACAGTTTTAATTTTACCCCATTTTACAACCTTTCTGGCCACAGTTGTTAAGTGAATCACTGCGGTTCAGTTAGGAGCACGGTTGTTAAGTGAATCTGGCTTCCCCCGCTGACTTGGCTCATCAAAAAGTCGCCTGTGATCCCGGGACACTGCGACCGTTACTCAGCTGGCTTTCATGTGTAAGTGGAGCTAGAACTCACCGTCTCCTGGTGATTGGCCCAAAGTTACTCAGCTGACTTTCATGTGTAAATGAAACTAGAACTCACCGTCTCCTGGTGATTGGCCCAAAGGTACTCAGCTGACTTTCATGTGTAAATGAAACTAGAACTCACCGTCTCCTGGTGATTGGCCCAAAGGTACTCAGCTGTCTTTCATGTCTAAGGCGGGACTAGAACTCGCCGTCTCCTGGTGATCGGCCCAAAGTTACTCAGATGGCTTTCATGTGTAAGTGGAACTAGAACTCACCGTCTCCTGGTGATCGGCCCAAAGTTACTCAGCTGGCTTTCATGTGTAAGTGGAACTAGAACTCACCGTCTCCTGGTGATCAGCCCAAAGTTACTCAGTTGGCCTTCACGTCTAAATGGAACTAGAACTCACCGTCTCCTGGTGATCAGCCCAAAGTCACTCAGCTGGCTTTTATCTCTAAGTGGAACTAGAACTCACAGTCTCCTGGTGATTGGCCCAAAGTCACCCAGCCAGCTTTTATGCATGAGGTGGGACTAGAACTCGGAGCCTCCTGCTTTCTCAACTAGCGCTAATCCTCACACCAAACTGGCTCTTATGTGGTTAAAACCAACTTCCTGAAAAACGGATTGAGGGAGAGTGCTCTCTGTCTGGTGGAAAAATATGTATTTGCACATTTGTACTTGAGAGAAGTCAGACAGAATTGCTGAGCTGGATGTCCAGC